TTCCCCTCTTTTTTTCCCTTTAAAATATGTGTCATTTTTTTATAGATCAAATCAACCTTTTCTTATTTGATTTTATTTAGTAAGCAACGACACTGGTTTTAATACTGGTTGCTAATCGTTGGTTGTCTTTTCTCTTTATTTTTTAAGTTTTTAAATAAGAATAATTATGTCATTGTGACACATTTACCTCTATATTTATGGCATTTTTTCTGTCTTTTGGTAGTTTTTGGTTATTTTTGTCGTTATTTTCGTTTATATTTTTTCTCAAGGTTGGATTTGACATCACCACGACTGATAAGATGGAGCTTATTTGTTATCCACATTTTAAGTTCATGGATAGTTTTCTTACATTGCTTGACTTTGATTTGCGATTTGTCGATGATCTTTTAATTTCTTCATCTCTTTTGTGGTTCATTTGCTGGTGTAGTTAGATTTGTTCATATCTTTATTTTGTTCGAACATTTTAATTAGATTTTTAACATTTTCCTTCAATAATGACTTTCTATAAAAAAAACAATATATATATATATAAGTGTATTCTAACACCTCTATCCACTTATATATATATATATATATAATTACATAATTAGTAGTAAAAGTTTAACGTCATAAAAAATAATTAATAGACAGATAAAAGTGGTACAGTAAAGGTTTAATATAAAAAATATTCAAATTATACGTCTTTTCTCATTTAGGTGTCTAAATTTTTTCAGTCAATTCAAGTGTTTAACGTTACAAACGTTATCATTTTCAGTGTCTCGACCATAATGACCGTTAAAATTTTCTGTTAAACGACACATGTCGTATTTATATAATTTAAAATTTATTTTTAATATTAATTTAAAAAATATTTTTTCTTAAAATAATTCCCCCCACTATTCGTCCCCCCACCCCCAACACTCTTCGTCCCCTTCATCCAATTTCAAATCTCCATGGACTGAAACAGTAAGTAAGCAAGGGTGACCCTCGATTAAGGCTAGTAATCTTATATTCCAGATTAAGGACAGTCAACGATTATTATTAGATTTAGATATCGAGTATTTGAGATTTTAAAAATTAGAAAATTAAGTTTACGAATTTAAAAATTTTGAGGTTTGCGATAATATTAATGGTGATCTCTGATTAGTTGGTGTCCGAAAACGAATGGATGATCGTTCGATGAAAGATGGGTGACCGAAGATAACCGACGGTCGGAGTAGAGGGAATTCGAATAATTTTTTTAAGAATTTATTTTTTTAGATTTTAAAATATTTAGAATTTTAAAAAATAATAATAATTTTATGTTTTTTTAAAAAAATTAAAAAAATTTAAAATTATATAAATATAAGACCTGTCAGTGAACGGAAATTTTTGACGGTGTATAAACTAGGAAAAATTTAAACACCCAAAAGGAGAAATAGGTATAATTTAAACACTTTTTCATATTTAGCCTACAATGAAATATACAAACGAAAATCAATTGATACTCTATATGCCAAGTCCAAATCTTATAGTGCAATACTATCTGGGAAAGAAAAAGTAAAATTAGAGGAATGAGCTGAAAAAACTAAGTGTTTAGTGAAGTGCAGAAAAAATATATAGATGTTAAAATAATTTGTACAATTTGTTTAAAATACATGTTTTAAAATTTGGCCGCAGCTCTCATCCGATCATAGGAAATCTGTAAGTTCCCCATAAGCTTACACCTACAACAAGGTCTTCTATACATAGCATGTGTGGCAGGGCGGATGCATTAAGCTCCTTAGAGGGCCAAGTATTATTTAAATAAAAAAGTGAAATTTAGTGTGATTTATTAAAAAGTTATGAACAAAATTAAAATTTTGGACCATATTCTTTTGGATCTGCAACTGATGTGTGGTAAGTGTGGGAAAGAATCACCCTTATCGCAAAGGTACCTGCAGCAAATACTTACAAGTCCAAAAGCATGAAATTCTTCTTCTTTTGACAACTATATCTGGAACAATAAAAATAAATATGCATTTTCAAAAACATGCATACAAATAATTGAAATGACGGCAATCAATAATTATGCTTCTTTTAAAATATGTTAATAATCATGTTGGTGATCGACGATATGTATCTTTAGCTTCGCTTGATAGGCTTCTGGAGGATGCAAGTTTGCAGAACATTTCGGAAGGTGAACTTGTTCAAAATGCTGGAAATTACTTTGTAAGATAGATAATTGTTAGTGTCATAACCATTTTTTTACAAAACAATTATTTATTATTTTAAAAACAGTTACGACTTTAATTTTGGAAAAATTGATGATTTTGAATTAAATTGGATAGAGTCGCCATCAACCTTTGGGTTAGGTAGGTCGAATACCTAAAAACGTCTTTTTAAAAAAATTAATTTTAAGAAAAATAATTTTAAGACAAAAAAAAAGCTATTCTGCGTCACCAAAGATTCGATTAAATGGATTCGAAAGTCGGTTACGCGTGGGGAAGTATTAGCACCCCCACAGCGCCCAAATTTTGGTACCTAAACAGTTATATGTTGTTTAAATATTGAGAATTACAAATTCAAAAATATATTTAAATTACGATCCTATTATTCATTTAACTTTATTTAAAAAGTGTCAACTTTCGGATGATTAATGCCTTTTTGTATGAACAATCTTCGGGAAAACACTTCCTTTGCAGTTAAGAGATTTTCTAATAGATTCCTCACAAACGATGTTTCTTTACAATTTTTTAAGATAAAATAACAAAACAACAATTTATACGAAAAACCATAAAAAAGATACATTCTCTTTAGTTGAGAGATATCTTCGTAGATTTCTCTCATATTAAAATTTCTTTATATTTTTGCATATTAAAACCAAGATGATTTACAAACAAAGTGGAAATGAAAATTTCCTACAAAGAATGCTTTCAACAATTACATGATTTATATACAAACATATATAAAATTATAATGATTGTTAAACAGTAAAATTACAAATCTGTATCAAAATACATATTTGCAAACATGATCAACTAAAATACTAACAAAAGTAATTATTTAGGACTAAATTGCAAAAATAGAAAGTTAAAGAGCCAAAATAGCAATAACAAAAAGTTAAAGAACCAAAACAGTAAAAATGGAAACTTAAGGGACTAATGAAAAACACGCTTAAAAGTACATGGACTAAAAAAATTAAACCAAAAATACATAACATCTATCAGAAATGGGTAAACCACGAAAACGATACCTACAAGTAACCATTTTTCAAAACAAGCCAAACTTAGGAGATTTAAAGTACAAATTTCCCCTGAAATTTTCTATAAATAACAAATTTTTTTATTTTCATTTCATTTGTTTTTAAATTATTTTGAGAGAGAGAGAAAGAGAGTCTACATTCTCTCTAGAAAATCGGCAATCGTCGGTGGTTACTTTCGTCGGCAGTCAGCTTCGTCGTCGCCAGTTGCCACATGACGTCGCCGCACCGTCACGCAGCCACCGTCGCTAGTGGTCGATGGTCACCAAATTTCACTGGGAGGTCCATCTTGGCCTCTCCATCTTGGATCTGGGGTCGATTTTGCATTAATCGGCTCCGTTAGTCGTAAAAAGGCCGAAAACCGTTCGATTTTCTTTTCTTCGATCCGCCGCCATCCACCGTCTGATCGTGCTGATTTTTTAGTATGTTGTTCGTGTTGGCCTTGCGCAATTTTCACCGTTCGGATTGTTGATCAGAGATCCCTATCGCCAATGAAATTCCGACAGAATGTAAGAACCTTTTTTTTTCTTGTATTTATTTTATTTCCGATTTTGGTTGTTTTGTTTGATTTTGTAGGATAAAAAAACTAAAAAATAAAAAAAATAATAGTAATAAAACTTTGCTGATAATTTTTATTACATTGCTTGAAACCATGGGAAAAAACCCTTGTTTCGAATCGAAAACCCTTACATTTTTCGAGAGCCCCTGATTTCTTTCGTTCGAATGCTTTCTTTTGTCCCCCTTTTTCACACACCGAATGCCCCCTTTATATTTTTTTCACTCACCTAATCTCCTTGTTTTTTTCTTTTCTTTTTTTTTCTTACTTTATGATGAGATATTGATGTAGTGGGTGAGGTATAATTTTGCTTTCTGTTTTTTACTGTGGCAGATTTTGGCTGATTTGGGTACTGTTTTGAGTGTTGTTGATTTTTAAAACCTCACTATTACAAATGGGTAAATTGGAGCTTAGTCTTTGGATTTTGTTTCCTCTTTAATTCTCAGATAAAATTAGGGTATTATAGTTAGGCTTTGAATATTTAGAACGGTGGATCTCGAAAGATATCTGAAAACAGTATAGTGTGCTCATATTTATGAATTTTTAGAAAGTTATTTTATTTCTTAGGATGTTAAGAATTTTGTAGTCATTTATTCTATAACCTTGATTATCATTATGTGTTCTTTTTCTCTTTTTAATGGGAAGATTTTTTTATCGAAGACATAAGATAATCTTGTATGACAGTTTTTTTCCATAAAAGTCATATTATTGAGAGAGAAAATGCACTCATGACTATTATTTTATTTTGATTAAGCTAAAAAAGATAAAACAATAACGTAACACGAACTTGAACACATTTAGACTCATTGAAAAGTCTAATAATATATTTTCTGAATTCAAAAATTGTCTGAACGAGATCTGCTGAATGTGATCCATACTCAATCGTGAAACACGATTGGGTTGAAATTTGAATACTTTATCTTCATACTCAATCATGAAACACGATTGAGTTACTATTTGAATACTTTATCTTTATAATAAACCTATCTACCATTGTGATAAAAGAGAGAAAAAGAAGAAGAAAAGCATCATTTGTTCTTCTGTCAGTATAGGTTCCTTGTTGGCACAGTTCGGTTCAGCATATGAGGGGCGTAATCTCTACTAAAGGCGAAAAATCCAAATTAATCCTCTACTGAAGGCGAAATATCGAAGAACACCAAAATCAAAATGATATACTTTGTGTCTGCCTTTTTTGTCTTTATATTGTTTCTTCGTTGGACGCAGTTGACAGACCATACACTCTTTTAATCTTTCAATTAATCTCTCTTCCTATTGTCAATTGATCCTTCCTCCAGACATGGATGAAAGTTTGAGAACAGCTTCTCTAACCGGAAATGTTGGTGATTTGTACAGGTTAATTCGGATAGATGGAAATGCTTTGAGGCGCTTCGAGGATGTGGAGTTTGTGGACACCCCTTTACACATTGCTGCAGAACAAGGGTGCATTCGGTTCGCAATGGAGATAATGAACCTCAAGCCATCATTTGCTCGGAAACTGAACCAGGATGGCTTGAGCCCCATGCACCTCGCGGTTGAAAAAGGGCACAAAGAGATGGCGTTGCGTTTCATGGAAATGGATAAAGATGTTGTTCGTGTCAAGGGGAAGAGTGGTAAGACTCCTTTGCACTTGGTAAGTAAAGTTGGAAACCACGATGGTATGCTGGATAGATTTCTAGAGGCTTGCCCTGAATGTGTTCTAGACGTTACGACTAAGAACCGCACTGCTTTGCATATTGCAACCAAAAATAAGAGACTGGACGTTCTTCAAGTTCTAATCCGAATGCTTCGAAAGAAAGACAAAGACTATTATCGGGAAGTGGTGAACCGGAAAGACGAAGATGGCAATACTGCACTTCACATAGCTGCTGGCAATAATCAACCTCAGGTTTGATGACTTATCTGCTTTAATAGTTAATATTACATAGATTATTTTGTACGTCGTTGACATTTTAATTGATTGTAGCAGATGCTCAGATTACTATTAGACTGCAAAGCTAATAAGCATGCCACCAATCAGGCTGGTTCGACGGCACTGGATGTTGCAATAGGGCAAAGTTACAGAGAAAGCATCAGTATTCTGCGGGGTTGCTGTATTCCAAGAGTTTCAAACTTTAAATATAAGATGGAGAAACAAATCGCCAAGTATCTAACCAAGGCATCGTCACTAATTTTTTCGGATATGGATAATATATCAGGGGAAGACCGCAATGCTTTACTAGTAATTTTAGGACTGCTTCTTACGGTAACTTTTCAAGCCGCTCTTAGCCCGCCCGGTGGTGTCTGGCAGGATGAAAGTTCCTCAGAGTCTAAAGGGTCGTATGATCGATTATCATTGGGGATGTCAGTCTTGCCTCAATACGAATTTCTTTTATTCTATGTTCCGACCTATGTGGTGTTCATCGTTACCTTTTTCCTAACACTAGCCCTGCTCAAACCTTTTCCCAATGGTTTCCGGACAACACTTCAAGTACTACTCGCATTTCTTGCAATATGCTTTCACCGATCAATAATTATCATATCCTCGGCCTATTCAACAGTCACAGTTATCAATATATTATCAGCACTTGTTTTCATTTTAATGTTGTTCATGTGTATCACATATGAAGTTTCGAAAATCAGCGTTTCAATCGTGGGATGTTGGATATTCACTGAACTTTGGCCCTCCGCTCCAAACATACTACACCTTTCTGATGAAGAAGAAACAATAGTTGCAAGCGTAATTCTAGGATTATTTTTATTCCTTTTTCTGTTTGATAACTTCTGGAAAGGAACCATTTTAGTTGTAGGTAATGGTTTAGCTGTTTGTATAATTTTCATTAGGCATGGTTTCTATGGTGGCGTTTACCTACAAACACCTCTTATAAGCGCAGGAAGTTGGTTTTTCTTTCATCTATGTCGAATCTGCATAAAGCGATGTATTCGCAATAGGAATGGTTGAGAAAAAGATATGATCCCTAAACAAAAACAACCGTCAATGGTGGAATTTCATCGACAGGTGGAGATGGAGAATTTTGGTCCGTGGATGGTGATAGAACATCGAAAAAGAAGGAATTTATGCAATAGTTTTGAGATTCTTAGTGGGGAAAAAGTAGTGATCAAAGGTTGAACGATACTTAATGTTCTTGACAACTTTCAGGATCACATCTTTCACAAGTTAAGAATAGATAATTATTGCACGAATCAAGTTACCTTAGTGGTTAAAAGAATTGTTATTCATAGACGTCCAGAGTTCAAGCACCAATGACCCCCCATCAGGGGTGATTGAGCATTCATTGTCAATTTGTTAAAGAGTATTTAGAACGGATACTACTTTATAATCATCTTAGCTTAATAAAAAATAATAATTAACTATTTTGAAGTTAAAGATGAAGATGTCTCATGCATATCAATTATTTTTACATGTATAGGCATCGAATAATATTTGAAGATTTAAAGATAATGATATTGTAACACTTAGAAATTACTTTTTGACCAATTAAGATGTGATGCCTCTTGATGAGCTAAGATACAATTGTTATGGACTAACTAAGATATAATGCTTCCAAACCAATAATTTCTTCTCTTCGTTGAAGGTAAAAGTTATCTTTATTCACATTTTTACAATCACCGAGTACGCAATAGATATATTTTATTTATATTTAAGATCCTTTTAATATGTGTGCTAGGATTATACTTCATATTCTCTTGAATCACACGGTTGAGTCTTTAAAATTGAGTTTGCTGCTTTTTATGTTTATTGCTTTACATCATATTACTTATTATTTAGGTTTTATTATTTTGTAATAGTAATCTGTAGATGTATTTTATGCTTGCGTTGTTTGAAAATTAAATCTAAATCTGATCTGCCAAATTTTCCTTAGATTTACACTCGATTTGCATATCCCTGTAAGGCTGTAAAATTTTCCTCTGATTTTCCTTAGTATTACTAATCATTAAATAAACTTATTAATAAACCAGAAATAGATCTCTCTGCCTTCTGTTCTCCATTTCGATTTCCCCCTTTTTTCTCATCTTTTTATATCGTTAGTCGTTAAATTAGGTGAGCTCCATTGATTCGTTTTTTGAAAATTTGACGATTTCACCTCTTCTTGGAGGTAAGGAAGTGGAACCTTGAAAAAAATTAAACTTCCATAGAATTTGTTATTTACTTGAAAAGCAGTTTTGCTTGAGTAGGATCTATTGGATCTATATTTTTGTACTTTTCTTTTGAGTATGATTTACTGGATCTGTATTTTTTGATTGTCCTAGACTCCTAATATCTTATATTTCTAGCGTTTTATTTGGTGCATCTTCTGTCTTCTTTGGATTCCTTTTTCATAGTTCCTCATAGCTTCGGCTATAGATGATTACTTGAGGTCATGTCATTCTTTTAGATCCCATAGGGCGTATAGGGGGAGGGCTCGACAGAGTGGTGTCAAGGAAACTAGACTTAGAGTTTGTTCATTGAATGTAGGCACATTAAATGCTAGGCTGCTGGAGCTGACCGACGTACTTAGTAATAGGAAAATAGATTTTGCATGTATTCAGGAGACTAGGTGGAAAGGGGCTCGCGCCAGAGAGTGTAATGGGTACAAGTTGTGGTATTCATCGTAGATAACGCTAGAAATGGGGTGGGTATCTTGGTATCCTCTAAGCTCAAGGAAAATGTAGTTGAAGTTTGTAGATACAGAGATAGGATCATGATGATTAAGGTTATTATAGAAGCGGAAGTGGTAAATGTCCTTTCAGTGTATGCCCCACACTTAGGAGCATTCCGGAGTACCAAAAAGTTTTCATAGGGGGAGACTTCAATGGTCATATAGGTAGTGCAACCGACGGGTATGACGGTGTTCATGGGGGTTTTAGTTTTGGTAGTAGGAACGAGGAGGGGAGAACTTTGGGAACTACAAAGGAGATCCCCAACATTGTGGCAACTACAAAGGTATTAAACTACTCAGCCATACCATGAAGCTTTGGGAAAGGGTGATAGAGGCTAGGTTGAGACAAGTTACTAGGGTTTCAGAAAACCAATTTGGCTTTATGCCAGACAGGTCTACTACGGAGACGATTCATCTACTTTGACGACTTATGGAGAAATATAGGGAAAAAAATAGAGATCTTCACATGGCGTTCATTGACCTTGAGAAGGCGTATGATAGCATTCCCCGCGATACTATATGGAAGAACTTGGAAATGATATGGATCCCAACTGCTTATATCCGGGCGATTCGTGATATGTACTGTAGATCTACTACATACATCAGGACTACAGTTGGCGACACCGAGGCATTCCCGGTGGAAATCGGACTCCACCAGGGGTCGGCTCTTAGCCCTTACATCTTAGCCTTGATTATGGACGACATCTATTGTTCGACACCTGACGGTGTTCCATGGTGTATGCTTTTCGCTGACGACATTGTCCTAGTTGCTGAAAAAAAAACTGAGCTGAATAGTAGACTGACTACCTGGATGACTGCTCTAGAAGAAAAATGTATAAGGATCAATATTGAAAAGACACAGTATTTATGTTCAAACTTCAGTGGGAACCAAAACGATGAAGATGTAGAAGTATGCATAGAAGGACACATTCTCCCCTCAAATGATTGTTTCAAGTACCTAGGGTCTATGATACATAAAGATGGGGGTGTGGATGATGACGTTACACACCGTATAAAGGCGGGATGGCTAAAGTGGAGGGCTGCAACATGAGTTTTATGTGACAAGAATGTGCCTCTAAAACTTAAGGGAAAATTTTTATAGAATGACAATAAGACCAGCGTTGTTGTATGGATCAGAATGTTGGGCAATCAAGAAGGATCACGTAAGGAAGATGGAAGCCGTAGAAATGAGAATGCTTCGATGGGTATGTGGTAGGACTCTGTGGGACATGAAACCAAACTCTGCTATTAGGAAGTCCTTAGGGGTGGTGCCTGTATCTGAAAAATTAAGAGAGGGAAGACTACGGTGGTTTGGGCATGTCCTTAGGTGACAACCGTCAGATACAGTCAGGAGGGTAGAGTCGATTATAGTCGACGGTGCCAGAAGGAGAGGACGATCAAGGCGAAAGTGGGAAGACTGCTTGATATATGATTTGAAGGATTTAGCCCTTACTGAGGACATGACCTCTGATAGGAAAGTATGGAGACTTAAGACCAGGGTAGCCGAGTAGTGTGGGCCACATCCATAGGGTGTATCATCTTTGTCTTCTTTTAATGTCTTTGTAGTAATTTACATGATCTCTACTTTTTATACGTTTTTTGTCATTGGAATTTATGAAGGCTTAGAACTAGGGTAGCGGAGTAGTGTTGCCTTAATTTAGGTTTTAACCCTTTTGGCTTCATTCTTTTCTCGTAGCTTGCTATCGTTGACTTCTGTGTATCATGTTCTTCATGTTTCCTCTTTTTAAATTTAGTCGGGTCTTACATTTCTGTTTATATGTAGATATTTTTACGCAGAGATTTATTTTCAGGGATTTCTTCTCATTACAGACGCGCATACGAATACTGCATATGAAGAGTGTCCAACTATGTATTTATTTATTCATTTATTTATTTATACATGCATTGCATTTTATCTTTATTTTTAATTTTCTTACTGCAGGAGGTCTTCCACGGAAGCTGCTCTCAACCTGGCGTTAGGGGCAGCCTACTACCCTACCTCTCCCTTACCCCATTATATATGGGAATAGGGTTTTGTTATTATTGTTGTTGTAATCTACAAGTCAAGTGTAACACCCATTTCGAGCACGAGTTAGATCAGATATCACATGAAACTTTCAAAACATTCTTTACCTAATTTCAGTAAAATTTTGTTTCTCTAAAATCATTGACAAATTAATTATATCAAAATATATAAAATATACTTTCAAACTATTCTGGTTACAATTAACACATAAACTAATGACTTTTAGAAGTATAACTTGTAACACCCTAAACTCGATTGAGCCTAAAGTGTCACATTGGGCTACCGAGGCAACCCCTTATTTTTAAAACGTGTTCATTTTCCTTTCAAACATATTGAATGGTATCATAAACAAAACATAAATAATTATAAAACATTTTACAAAATCGGAGCTTCGTGACACATAATATAAAACCAAAATAATGCAAACTTGAGTTTTATAAACTAGATACATAAGTAAGGTTCTATTAATACATATACCTACTTGTCGACACCGTTTTTTACCCGGGTGGGAAAAAACTAGTGCGACTTGAGGGTTTTTAAAAAAGATTTTTAAGAAAAGATGGGAGTCATCACTAATCATTTGAAGGTGCGATTGGAATACCTAAAATAAGTAATTTTAAAAAAATATTTTATTTTATAAAAAAATATCAATTTTGTATGCGAAAACCAGAAATAGGGTTTGAGAGTCAATTACACGTGGAGGAAGGATGAGCATCCCCACAGCGCTCAGAAATTGGCACCTAGTTGATTACCTTATACTTAAAAAATGAATTTTTTTTTGAATTCGAGATTTTATTTAATTTAAAACCCACCATGGATGCAAACTTGGAAGAGGATGTCGGTTTACCAAGACCAATAACGACCACCCTCGAGCATTTACGCGAAAGCTTTGTTATCGATCCCAATAAACGAACATTGCCTCGAGGATTTAGAAATCAACGGGATTTTGAAAAAGATGTCTACTTACTTCGAGAATTACAAATGGTCACCCCTTAAGCATAATGCGAGGGATACACTATTAACTCCTTGGTAAATGAACATTGCCTATGCTAGGTTGGTTAATTAAGGCAATTCCTAACTTAAAGTGTCAAATTATGAAAATTAAAGAACCTAAAGGACTAAACCTAGAAATGGAGGCTCTATTATTAATCCAATTTGATTTTAACTAGTTATTGAATCGAATAATTGAAATGGTCCCTTGGGCATGTTAAAGCGAGAGCCAATTCAGATTACTCCTTAAATTAAAGGACTAGATTGAAATCTAA